AGATAATGATTTGTCTCAGTTTTTATTGATCTGGAATTTTTTTTTCTTTCACCTTTATTCATGAAGAGTGTTTTTGTTTGACTTAATTCTAGGTTAATAGGGGTTTTTTTTTTGTTGTTGTTGTTGTTGTTGTTGTTGTTTGTTTGCTTTAATTTTTTGACGGCTGGCCAGTTCAGTGTTCTGAACCCTTGGCCTTGGTGTTATAACACCATGCTCTAACCAACTCAGCTAACTGATCAGCCCTTTATTTATTTTAAAGATGTTCCATTTTCTTATGGCTTGCATTGTCTCTGATCAGAAGTCATTAGAATTTTTTATTATTATTCCTTTATAAGTGTCTTTTTTCTCTGGCTGCTTTATTTTTTATCTTCAGCAATTTGGCTATAAAACCTAAATGTGCTTTTCTTTGTTTGCTCTGCTTGGGGTTTATTGAGCTCTTGAATCTGTGGGTTGATATTTTTTCATCAAATTTTGAAACATTTTGGCTATTTTTTGTATTTTTTTTTGCCCCATCCTCTCTCATCTTCTTCTGGGAATCCAAATGTACATATGTTAGACTGCCTGACACTATTCCACAGATCATTGAATCTCTGGTCTTTTCTGTTGTGGTGATGGTTTTGCTTGTTTTATTTTGTCTCATTTCCCTCTATTTCTGTCTGAATAGTCTTCAAGATCCCTGATCTTTTCTTTTGCAGTGTCCAACCAGCTGTTAAGACTATTTGGTGATTTTTCTTTTCATTTCAGATATTGTACTTTTCAAATCTAGAGTTTCCCTTGGTTCATTTCTATAGTTTCCATTTCTCCTTGCTAAGAGTCCTCGTCTAGTCACTCATTATATACATCTTAGTTTGTTTTCTTGCTTTTTAAAATCTTGAACATATTTGTAATAGCTATTCTAATGTTCTTGTCTGCTAATTCCAACTTATGTTGTCACCTCTTGGTCTGTTTCTCTGGACATTTTTTCCTGATTAGGGATTACATTTTTCTGCTTTTTCCCTGTCTCATAGTTTTTATTGTGTGCTGGACATTGTCAGTACTACATTGTTGAGAGTATGAATTTTGCTGCCTTCCTTTAAAGAGTATTGACTGTTGTCTTGCAGGCAGTTAATGTGCTGGAAGATTAGCTTTCTCCTATTGAACCTTGTTTCTAGAATTTGTAAGGGTGGTTCTAATGCAGCCCTTATTAAAAGGCTAGAGTCTTGAGGCTTAGTCTTTCTGGGGTCTCAACTGAATGCCTAAGACGTTCAGTGAGATCTCCTCATTCTGGCTCATTGAAACTCCAGTGTATCTCAGCACTGTGAGATCTCCAGAATCCCTCCTCAACTCGTAGTCCCCCAATACCTGTTCTCTGCTGGGCTTTTAGAGTTTCTCCCTGCACATGTGCCAACAAATTCCCTGTATTAGTCCATTTCCATTGCTTATAACAAAATACTTAGAACTGTGTAATTTATAAAGAAAATGAAATTTATTGCTTACAGTTTCTGAGGCTGGGAAGTCCAAAGTCCATCTGGTGGTGATGACAGTGACCCAGGAGTCTAACATTGCAAGAGGGTGGAAGCAGAGAAAGAGAGAGAGAAAGACAGACTCTCCTCCTTTTAAAGCTCTCAGAGGGGCCAGCCTGTGGCTCACTTGGGAGAGCGTGGTGCTGATAACACCAAGTCAAGGGTTAAGACCCCCTTACCGGTCATCTTTTTTAAAAAGTAAATAAATAAAATCCTCAGAACCACACCCCTGACCACCATTTTTAATTCATTCACTACTGCATGGTCCTACAATCCAATCATCTCTTTAAGGCTCCCCCTTTCAATTACCATAATAGGATTTCCCACCCTCTTAACAGTCACAGTGGGGGCTAAGTTCCTAATACATAAAACTTGGGGGACACAATTCAAGCTTCAGTGAGTTTGGGGGGGACATGATTCAATCCACTACATTCCCTTACACACATTTCTTAAGTTCCCTCTTCTCTGACACAAATTTGAGCCACCTCAGCTCTCCTTAATTCCCATCTCTGTTTCTTCTGTCCAACAAGTCCACTATTTCTTGTTTAGGCCCCACATCTAAGTTCACCACCTTTTTTTCTCTCCAAAATCACAGTCCTTTGCAGTATGTTGTTCAATGCCTGAAAATAGTTGCTTCGTTTATTTTGTTTGGTTTTACAATTGCTTATGATAGGAGGGTGAGTCTAATACCTGCTATTCTGTTAAGTCTGGATCTTGATGTTGGCCTTGCTTTATACCTCATTTTTAAAATTTGAATTTGAATTGCTAATAGGTAATTCTACCTCCAGCTCCTACCATGTCCAGTACATTGTAAATACCCTCTTGTCTTGTGTAGATCTCTGAGATGACCATCTATAGATTATGAAGCCAGGACAGTTGCAGGCCCTAGCATTAAAATTGGAAGAATTGAACAAAATTGTCTTGTGAGAAAAAAAAAAAAAATTGTCTTGTGAGAAAAAAAAAAAAAATTGTCTTGTGAGAAAAAAAAAAAAAATTGTCTTGTGAGAAAAAAAAAAAAAATTGTCTTGTGAGAAAAAAAAAAAAAATTGTCTTGTGAGAGTAAAAGGCCAAGAACAGGGTAGAAATTATACTTTAAAAGAACTTGAGGGAGCCGTTCGGATCCCATATAGGGATGGCCGGTTCGCTCACTGGCTGAGCGTGGTGCTGACAACACCAAGTCAAGGGTTAAGATCCCCTTACCAGTCATCTTTTTAAAAAAATAATAAATAAAAATAATAATAATAAAAGAACTTGAGGAATATCTTGCAAATGTAATAACACTGAATTCTTTTTTATGAAAAAATAATTTTCCAGGGCCGGCCTGTGGCTCACTCGGTAGAGTGCGGTGCTGATAACACCAAGGCCACGGGTTCGGATCCCACATAGGGATGGCCGGTTCGCTCACTGGCTGAGCGTGGTGCTGACAACACCAAGTCAAGGGTTAAGATCCCCTTACCGGTCATCTTTAAAAAAAAAAATAATAATAATAATAATAATAATAATAATTTTCCAGAGAAGATAGAGAAAAGGATAATACAACACATTAAGACATAAAAAGGATTTTCAAACATATTTTATACTTTTTAAAACTTTCGAATAGTAAGAAGCAAAGTGTAAAAGTAAAATTCTGCTTTTTTGTTTGTTTGTTTGGCGGCTGGCTGCTAAGGGGATCTGAACCCTTGACCTTGGTGTTGCCAGTACCACATTCTCCAAAATGAGCTAACCAGCCAGCCCTCATTCTGCTTTTTGAACTTTTTTTTACACAAATAATTTATGTGTCTGGTGGAAGAACAAATATAAGGGGAAAAAAGAAAATAAAAATGAATAGATTCTTTTTTTTTTTTTTTAAAGATGACCGGTAAGGGGATCTTAACCCTTGACTTGGTGTTGTCAGCACCACGCTCAGCCAGTGAGCGAACCGGCCATCCCTATATGGGATCTGAACCCGGGGCCTTGGTGTTATCAGCACCGCACTCTACTGAGTGAGCCACGGGCCGGCCCGAATAGATCCTTTTTTATTTTTCATTTTTTAAAAGTGGCAGTGGCACAGGGAATTCCCTATTTTTCCTGACATTGCAAAACTGCAAAGGGGCAGGGTGTTGTAAGAGAAAGAACCCTTGGAGCTAAGACTAGCTCTGTTGCTCATTGACTAGGCAAGTCATGCTCTCTCTCCTTGCTGCCATCTCCTTATCTGCCCCCAAGATGTCAACCTCTCAGAATGAATAACTTGCACACCTAGCAAGGACTACCAAACAAAAACCTTCAGGCAGTCCAGAAAAGCACCTTGTGTATCTGAGATTCAGAGCCTTTTCTTGGAAGCTGACATGCTCTTAGAACAATGAGTTTCATTTACCTAACTAAAGCCCAGCTCCAGTTTTTTCACTCCCCTGCTCATAAGCTTCTGAACGTGCTCCAGCCCACCTTTGCTACTGAAACCCTGCACTATGTAGAGTGGAAAAGTCAAGGGCAAAAGTCCCTCTGGGAGTCTCAAGTCCCAGACTCTGAAATTTAAATAGGCACAATGCCACAGCTGTATATTTTTTACTTCTTTGCTTTTGCCCATGATTTTCCTTCCGCTGAAATGCCTCCTGCCTTGAGCCTTTGTTCCTCCTAGACCGCTGTCACCAGTGCCGCCTCCTCCATAAGAAGACCACTTCCAGTTCCCCGACCAAATGTGCTCTCTTCCGTGTATCTCTGGAGCATCGCTAGCAATTCACATATGTGTACACGGGCCCTGCACTTTATTTAAGCTCTTGTTGCATACCTCTTGCCCCTGTTCAATTCACCTTTTTGAGAACAAGAGCAATACCTTGTTTTATTTATCTTAACATTCTTTTTTTTCTTTTTTTTGATCACCCCTATTTATCTTAACAAACTTTATGTACCAAACAGTATCTGGGATATTCCAGGCATTCAGAAATATTTATTGCGGGCCGGCCCGTGGCTAACTCGGGAGAGTGCGGTGCCGATAACACCAAGGCCACGGGTTCGGATCCCATATAGGGATGGCCGGTTTGCTCACTGGCTGAGCGTGGTGCTGACAACACCAGGTCAGGGGTTGGGATCCCCTTACCGGTCATCTTATAAAAAAAAAAAAAGAAATATTTATTGTCATGAGTAATTCTCATAGTTACAGTGTGAAGTAATTCTCTTTTTTTCCTTTTTTTTTTTTTTTAGTGTCCATGCTAATCTCTGTATCATTTCAATTTTAGTATATGTGCTGCCAAAGCAAACACAGTAATTCTTTTTAATGTGTCCTAAACTTGTCTTTTTCAAAGGTCAAAGACTTTTCCCTCATTCTGGCAGTTGTTAAGTCATGACCAAATTCATTTCTGCTCTGTCCACAGGCTTTGTGATTCTGTAGGCCTCCATTGTATTACTTCTTAGCTTTTTTTTTTTCTTTTAGGGCAAATGTTAGAACATTCGGAGCGAAATGTGGTATATGTTCTTTGGAATATAGTTGTAATGGCTAACTCTCTCTTCCTATTCTCCACATAGAGAGATGTTCTTTACTACAATGGAAAGCCACCTTCTACGCTGCAAAGTGTTAGAAATCATATTCCTCCACAGCTGTGAGACTCCCACCCGCCTGCCCCTGTCTCTGGCCCAGGCCCTCTATTTTCTGAACAATTCCACATCACTGCTCAAGTGTCAGGTACTTTTTTTCTGCTTTAATTCCAGGCCTAGAACATCTTTCCTTTAATCCTGCCTATGGGACTTTAGCTTGAAACACAACTGTTTGAGCGTTATGTAAAAGTGACTTGAAAACCATACAAAAACTTTATCTGGGGAAGGTGTTTATTATCCATTTCTTTTGCTATCTCTGCAGTCAGATAAAACACAGTGGCAGACTTGGGATGAGCTGGTTGAGCATCTGCAGTTTCTGTTGTCAAGTTATCAACATGTCTTAAGAGGTAAGGAGCATTTGTCGACAAATAGGTATTGTGGGAGGTCTCACAATGGACATTATTATAAATAATAGCTACACAGGGGATTCTAATTTATTCACTTAAGTAAAGCATTGTTCCTTGGTTGTAAATAAGGGACAAGGAATGACATAGCTAGAGTCACTGCTATGAAAAAGAAGAATTCTCATATTTTTGTTATGGCTGTAATACAGTGGTCCTCATAGTTATAAGGTTGTGTAGGTAAGCAAGAGTTATCATAACATGAGAAGTCTTCAGTAATGACCCAATTAGTCCTGGTATCTTACCCAGCCTATCACTGCAACATCTCTGTTGGATCAATTGCTCACTGACAAGGGACAGTGTAAGCATCTGCCAATACAATGCAAATACAGAGCAAACCAGTGGCAAGGTGAGCATGTACATCTTGCAAAAGATGTAAGATACCTTAAAGTCTATGAAAGTGGCTCTTGAGAGCTGCTCAAATCACAGGCAAAGCCAGTGACCACTGAGGATCTGGGAGAGTTAGCCCAGGTAACACTCAGGAAGTGAATGTTGACGAGAGTAATGATGGAATAACTGCTTCAACTGAAAATGGGTTTATTAACCAAGGATTAATGAGGCTTTTGGGAAAACTGCAGAACTGGTAAATTATTAATTACAAAGGAAAAAATAGTAACTTGAGAAGTGAGAAACCTGGCATTCCTCCCAGATGTGATAGACTGAAGTCACATCATCATGTATGTAGCATTCCTGCCAAAAATTCATGACCTGAATCTAATTGCAAGGAAGCATCAGACAAAGTCAGACTGAGTGACCTTTTACAAAATAACTGACCTGTACTTTTCAAAAGTGCCGTTGTCTTAAAAACAAAGAAATGACTGAGCTACTCTTCCAGATTAAAAAGAAACTAAAGCACATGAATACTAAATGCAATACATGATCCTAGGCTGGATCCTTAGTCAGGAAAAAAGAAGTTATAAAGTACATTATTGGGACACTTGGTGAAATTTGAATAGATTAGAAAATAGTATTGTATTACAGTACTATAAAATTCCCTATTTTTTGATAATTATACTAGTTTATAATAATAAATGTCCTTGGTCTTAGGAAATCCATGCTGAAGTATTTGAGGGTTAGAGGGGCACAGTGTCTATAACTTATTCTCAAAAAGCAAGGGGAAAAACTGTATGTATAAAATTTACCTGCCCATGATCATGTTGGGGTTGATTTTAATTCAGTAACGGAAAGGTAAAATAGCCCTTAGACCCTCTCAGGCCTGGAACTGAGAAAGCTATTGTAGAAACATTTTTAAAACTGAATAAATAAAGCACTTGATTTAAGACAGAAGGTCTGGGTTTAAATCCCAACTCCACCACTTACTCTGTGTTGAACAGCTCACTATATGTCTTTAGGCCTCAGTTTCTTCCTTCTATAGGATGGGGATGATATATACAAGTATAACTTACAAGTATTATTAATGGGTGTGATTTTTTTAAAAAGTAGTAAGTATTCAATGAATGTTAATTGAATCTCAGTCTGCCTGTTTGCCTGGCCAGGGGTAGGCTACAAGGGTCTTCTCTATGTTTCAGACTTTTGTAACTGAAGTTTAAGAGAGTGCATTGTCTTCCCAGAGAATAGAATGGTACGTCCAAATTGCCTGTGACATCAACAGTTTCTTCTCTGGGAACAGTTAACTGTTGAAATAAAATGATCAGCACAAAAAAAAAAAAAAGTGGTGCATTGCCAAGTCCACGATATATGGTTGTATAGTTGTGCATTTTTTAGCACCCTCAAAGAAATGCCCATGTCCTTCTCAGAGCAAAGCCCCAAAGGCAAATTCCACATGTACTTAGCCTCATCTAGGTTTATGTAATTGTTCCTTTTGGAGCTCAAACAGAAAGTTTAATATTAATGCATCTTGTTTTCGTTTAAAGTTTACCTTTAACAATTCTTGTTCACTTCTGTTTTGATTCCCAAGGAATACACCTATCACGGACAATAGTGACTTAAGACAGATATGGCATCCGCTTTTATTACAGGGTATTTCTATGCTTTGATAAGGGAGAGGAAGGCCTCAGACTAGTGTATAAGCAGGATGTGTTCCAATGCTGTTTTATCCTTAACATCCCTTCCAGCTTCTTTGGAGACCAAGAGTTAAGAAGGAGAATAATTTATTTAAAACTAGTAGTTTGAAAACATTGTCCTACAAAGATCACAGCTGAATGTACCCTGAAATGGAGTGTCCTTGGCAGTCAATAAGTATTTTACTGTGAGGGCCCCTTAGTTGTTTCTGCCTTCTTCTAGGAGTCTGAGGATGTTGTTGAGGGCATTTTGAGATCAGCCTGAGTTGTCTAGCTCCAAGGATAGGGAAAGAAAGGAAAAGGTTAGAGAGCCCAAGCTTGCCCTTTGTTTAGGAGAACCTCTTAGTGTAAAGGAAGAAAGGAAAGGTAAATTCACATACACTGGGTTATATATTTCCAGAACCTTGTGAATTTACCATCCCCATTTTACAGATGGGAGAACAACGGCAGAGAGACTAGTAAATACAGAACCAGGATTCAAACTTAGGTCTGTTGCCAAAGTCAGTGTGCAATGAAAACACACTAGAAGGAATTACTTTTCTATGAAATTACTGGATGAGATTAGAAGGTGAGATTCAAAAGAATTTCCTACCCTTCATTTTCTTTTTTTTTTTTTTTGTCTTTTTTTTTTTTGTGACCAGTAAGGGGATCGCAACCCTTGGCTTGGTGTTGCCCGCACCGCGCTCAGCCAGTGAGCGCACTGGTCATCCTTATATAGGATCCGAACCCGCGGCGGGAGCTGATGCGCTCCCAAGCACTGCACTCTCCCGAGTGCACCACGGGGCCGGCCCCCTACCCTTCATTTTCTAAACTCTCTGTACATTGTTAACATACTTTTCTACAGACCTTGGGTAATAGTATATTCTGAACCCCGGTTTTGCAAATGTTTCCATAGAAGGCAGAGCAGCCCTGCTGAGACATGGATGCTGGGCTGTCAGCTGAGCTCATGTTCTCTGGCTGAGAGAATCAAACCCCCACACCCTGGTTTCATAGCCGTGTGATTCAAGTTTGAGCCTCTGCAAACTTGAAAATTGCTGTCTGTCATGGAGGTTTCCTGATTCTTGTGAACAGTCAGGACTTCATATTTTGAAACTATGAATCCAAGGAACTTAAACATGTAATATTTAAATGAACAAAATACATGCTTTTCCTGAATACCACTCAGCTGGATAGCTTAGGCAGGGCAGGCCACAGATGTCGGCCACCAGTCATTCCAAGGAGGAGAGAGAAGAAGCAGCAGGCAGCATCAGTTCAATTCGTACATTCACCCAGGCCACAGATATTTACTGAATGCCTTCTCTGTGCCTGGTTCATTGGGAAAACCTCAGTGAATAAGACCAGCATGGCCCCTGCCCTCATACCACTTACTGTCTAGTGGAGAGATTGACCCTAAATAGATAATCACACAAGTAACGTATAATTACAATTAAAGTAAATGCTGTCAGGGCCGGCCCGTGGCTCACTCAGGAGAGTGTGGTGCTGATAACACCAAGGCCACGGGTTCAGATCCCTATGTAGGGATTGGGCCAGTTAGCTCACTTGGGAGAGCGACAACACCAAGCCAACGGTTAAGGTCCCCTTACTGGTCATCTTTTAAAAAAAACCTTAATTGGGCCGGCCCGTGGCTCACTCAGGAGAGTGTGGTGCTGATAACACCAAGGCCATGGGTTCAGATCCCTATGTAGGGATTGGGCCAGTTAGCTCACTTGGGAGAGCGACAACACCAAGCCAACGGTTAAGGTCCCCTTACTGGTCATCTTTTAAAAAAAACCTTAATTGGGCCGGAATGCTGTGAGGGAAAGTACAAGTGGACAAAACAGGAGGACCTAATCTATTTTAGAAGGACTTGGGAAGGCCTCCCCAAAGAAGAGATATTTCAGCTAGTCTGATATGAGGTACTGGTATTAGTTATGCAAATAGGGAGGGGAGAGTTTTCCAGAAAGAAGGAACAGCATGTCCAAGGACCCTGAGGCAAGAAGTTGCTCAGTGAGAGAAGGGAACATAGAACAAGCTCATAGGGCTCGGATGTAGTGAGCAAGGGGAGAATAGCATGAGATGAGACCAGAGTAGCAGATGGACAGGGTGTGAAGGGCCTTCCATTAAGGAACTTCAGCTGAATTCCAAGAGTGGAGGGAAGCCATCAAAGTGGTTTCAAGTAAGGGAGTATCATGATCAGATCTGCAAATTTAAAAGTTTGCTCTGCCCAGTGTGTGGCAAATGGTTTGGAAGAGGGTCAGAGAGGTCAGATGGTGCTGTGGCTGTGGGAAGTGCAGTGGGGAAGGCAGTAGATGCAGCAGAACCTCTTTGAAGATCAATTAGACAGAGCTTGAGTGACTGCATCTGAAGGATGACTCCCAGCGTCCTGCCATTACTGATATGGAGCAAGGAGGAGAAGGAGCTGCAGGGAAAATAAAGAGCTTAGTTGATGTGTTAGGGTAGAGATTCTTCTAATGATGATAAAATAACAGTAGCTAACTCCAGTATTGATGCAGAACTAGTAATAGTACTGTCAGCTAAAATGTCTTGAGCCAGGCATTATGCTAAACTCTTTTCTTAAATTGCCTCATCCAGTAAACAACCTCTGATGTAAGAATTCTCATCCCTACTGAAGCATGAAATCCAAGGCCTTGCCACCTGAACCAGAATGGCTGAAGTCCATTGAGATGGCCACCACTAACATTTGCTTCTTTAAATTTCCTGCATTATTTTAATAAACTCCAAATTCTTCTTGCTCACACACTAAGTCTTCCCTATTCCACCCTATTCAACCAATTTTTCTTTCCATTTTTTCAAAATCATTTTTGTATTTTTCAGAGTAGCACATGCCTTGTTTAAGAAAATCAAATTCTACTAAAGGGCTTTTGCCTAAGACAGTTCTACACCAGTAGCAAAGTGAAATAGATCACATCTCCCTACTTAAAACCCTTAGTATCCCCTTGCTCACAAAGGCCAAACTCCACATTGTAATGTGGCCCAGTCTACCATCCAATTCCGTTTTCTACTCTCCCTCTTACTACCCTGATTTTATCTCTAGTTCTTAAAGCAAGCTTTTCCCGCCTCGTGGCATTTGTGCTTGCTGTTCTCTCTACCCGGACTGCTTTCCCCTAGACCTTTGCATAGTTGGCTCCTTCTCATCCTCACGACTCCAGAGGCCCTCCCTGGCTAGCGTGGGCTGCTTCCCTCTTTCTCCCCAATGTTACTGTTTATCACAGCATCCAATTTCTTGGATTGCACTAATGCCAAGCTATAATCACAATATTTTTGTTGGTCAGGCTTCCCGCAACTGTATCCATCCACAGGGACTGGGCCCAAGTCTCTGATTCCACTGTGTGCCAGAGACTGGCCCAGTTCCGGATATGAAGTAGGTGTATACCATAAACTTTTGCTGATTGCATGTGGAAAGGGCCCTGCAGTTACATCTTATGGCAGCTTTGTTTCCTGTGTTTCGAGACTTTTTGAACACGCCGTTGCGTGTTTATTGTACTTTCTTTTTGGATTGCAATTAGGCCCATTGGTATAAGTTTAGAGACTTTACTTTTCAGTAAGTAGTACAGTGAACACCCATATACCCTTTAATTTGATTCACCAGCTGTTAACATTTTGCCACATCTGATTTACCTATTGATCCATTTGTATATGAAGGTATTTCAAAAAGTTCATGGAAAAAATTTTTTAATAAACACACAAAAGAAAAAAAAGTTCATGGAAAGATTCATATTATCTTTTAACTCTATTTTTCTACGAACTTTTTGAAGTACCCATGTACTTTTTTTTTCTGAACCAGTTGAGAGTAAGTTGCACCATCATAATCCTTCTGCTTAAATACTGATTCTCCTAAGAATAAGGGTATTCTCCTACATACCACTGTTTATCATCATACTCAAGAAACTTATTCTTGGGCCGGCCCGGTGGCGCACTGCTATAGTGTGCCGCTTGGGAAGCGTGGTGGCGCTCCCGCCGAGGGTTCGGATCCCACATACAGACCGGTTCCCGCTCACTGGCTGAGCGAGGCACGGGAGCAGCACCGAGGGTTGCGATCCCGTTGCCGGTCCCCGGTCCGGTACGGGGGCAACACTGAGGGTTGCGATCCGTTGCCGGACACGGAAAAAGACAAAAGACAAAAAAAAAAAAGAAACTTATTCTTGACAGAATGTTATGTAATATTGTCCCAGTAATACCCTTAGGTGGTTGGTTTTGTTGTGAGCCCAGATCCAGACAAATGTCAAGCATTGTACTCTTTGGTCTTTAGTCTAGCACAGTTCCCAGCCTTTATTTGTCCTTCATGACACACATTTTTGATGAGTCCAGGCCAGTTATTTTGTAGAATGTCCCATATCTGGGATTGTCTAATTTTTTACTCATGATCATATTCATGTTAAATACTTTTGACAAAAATACTGAATAGATGATGATGTACCCTCTTTGCAGTGCATGACATCAAAAGGCAATGTCATTTTGGTTCCATTAGTGGTTAAGTTTGGTCATTTGGTTAGGGTGGTGTCTATCAGATTTCTCCAGTGTTTCCCCTTTATTTGTAAGTAATCCACAGGGTGTAATTTTGAGACCGTGAATATCCTCTTCAGCTTTTCATTTGATGGTTTTAGCATCCTTTAATGGTTCTTACAGGAATCAAATGTATTAGTAAGTTAAAAACTGGTGACTTTCTACTTCTACATTTAACTGGCCTTCTTCTGGAAAAAGGACTTTTCCCTCCTCTGCCACTTCCTTCCCCCTTTCCCATTTTTTAAAAATTATTTTGATTATGCACTCAGAGCTTTTTAAAAATTCAATAATCCATTTTTGTCATTAATTTTTATGATCACATTGTTTAAAATGTGGCCAACAGGAGCCTCTTTCTGTTGGTTCCTATGTCCTTTTGACAGTTCCCCATCAGTTTTTAAGCATTCCCTTACTTTCATACAAAAGATGTTCTAGGTTCACTTTGTAATTTTTTTCTTTTGGGGGAGGAGGGGTAGTGGCCAGTACAGGGATCAAACCCTGTATCAGCATCACGCTCTAACCTACGGAGCTAACTACCCCACCAGCCATACTTTGTAATTTTCTTGCTCTGGTCCTGAAATCAGCCTTTTCTCCAAAAAATTCGTTTCTTTTAGTGGAGAATGGGGATCAGTATTTAGAAACAAAGATCTAGATGCTAAGTGTGCTGATTGATATTGGGGTGTCTCTGCTTCAGGCCCTTTCTGATGACAAAGCTAGTAAATTATATAATTTTCCAAAAATACAAGTTCATACCAATACAATTTCCACTCCATTACCACAGAATTCTTCCTCTCTTCGCCATTCCATGCCTGAATCTCTCTTCTCCCACAGCAAGAACCCTGGTTCCCAACAACATGAATAATGACAAAGCTAGTAAATTATATAATTTTCCAAAAATACAAGTTCATACCAATACAATTTCCACTCCATTACCACAGAATTCTTCCTCTCTTCGCATTCCATGCCTGAATCTCTCTTCTCCCACAGCAAGAACCCTGGTTCCCAACAACATGAATATATTGATTCATTTGATCTATCCTACAATACATGCAAAATAGCTTCAGAATAACTACAATAAATCAATACCACACCAAACTTACTAAGTTCAATATTTCTTTAATTCTTTTCATACTTTGGAATCTCCCTATTCAAAATTCACTTGAATTTTTTTCTATAGTTGTGTTAATTTGAAATATAGTTTAATATAGGTGCATTGTTTAGATTAACAGAGGGAAAGAACTAAAATGGAATACAATTTTTTTTATATGTAACACTTCATGGGGGCCAGAGAGAACCAAGAACAAAGGACCTTTTGGAAATGGAGTTACCAAAGGCACTCACATGGCCATTGACTTGTATCCCAGTAGCTAGTCAACAAGTGTTTGCCGAGACCCTACCTACTAAGTATCACAAAAGAATGAAAAGCAGTTCAACTGACTTTTCCTCTCTTGCAGAGCACTTACGGAGTTCAGTGATCGATCGAAAAGACCTAATAATCAAAAGAATTAAGCCCAAGCCTCAGCAAGGAGATGACATCACAGTGGTGGATGTGGAGAAGCAGATTGAGGCCTTCCGCAGCCGCTTGATCCACATGCTGGGGGAGCCTCTTGTCCCCCAACTCCAAGACAAAGTGCACTTGTTGAAGCTCCTGCTCTTCTATGCTGCAGACTTGAACCCTGATGCAGAGCCCTCACAAAAGAATTGGAGCAACCCCTGCAGACCTCCTAAGCACTGAACAGCAAGAGTACCTCCTGAACTCTATCTCCAATTACTTAGAAGCTCTAAAAGTATGAAAAGTAGTTAAAAATCTTACAGGACCAAACCTTATTTATCTGTAGGTTGTAATAATTTCCTAACTCCTTAGTAAATATCTTTTCTTTTTTTTATAATTCTGTCCTAAGCTGTTCTCAAAATAGCTTAAATATACAAGGTGTATATATTTTTTAATAAATTATTTATCTATACTTTTTTTTGAAACAGCTAATACTATATGCACTATATGTTTAACATTTCTATTCAATATGTGAGAGAAGACTCCCTGTACTGAACAAACTCTGTACGTCAGTTTTGTTATTTAAGGTACTGACAACCTGTTTCCGGAGAGAAAGACATTCATTTTTCTCTAATGGAACACAAACATTCTACAGTAGACTTTCATATTGCCTATGAATTTGATTTTATGGCCAGTCTGTTACGATCTAATGTAATGAAGTGGGTAGAAACAAAAGGACTGAGTGTGTTACAAAACATTTGATGTTAAAAGGATACAATAAAAAGGCAATAGTTTTTCAAAATACCATGTTTTCTGTGCTTAGGTTCCCTGACTGTGGGTAGGCAGAATGGAATAGCTATTCTTGACAGGACAAAAAACAGACACCCACATATGAGAAAGTAGTAAGGATTTTTATTGTCAAAACAACAGATCATAACAGAAGACACAAATAAATTAATTGTTCTGATAATTTTAGGTTCCAAGGCCTCTCTACAGAAAGGTCAGCTCCTTATACAGACAAGATACTATCTAAACCAAAAAACAGCAGGTATTTGAGACATGTTCAAGACAATGACCATGTACACAGCGAGGAGAAATAAAAAGGCAGTCTCCCTAATTTCCTTTCCTCAGTAAGGTATGTGTTGCATAAAGGTGTGAGGCTCGTTTTGGTAAAAAATGCTTTTGTATAGAAAAATTCTGAATTCTTCCACCTCACCCAAAAAGTTTCAAGCCCTGACCTGAACAAGGAAATCAAAATAAGGTGACACTAGTTTCACGTGAACCTCAAGACTATAATCTAACTGTAGTTACCATCCTCCATACTTTACCAAATCAGTAGACTAAATTTTCTCCCTTAGGAAGTTTTCAACCAAATTGAAGTTAAATTAATCTCACTTTAAAGTACAAAGAAGGACATGCAACACTAGTGTTTGTTCTGTGACAGATAAAAGAGAAGGCTCCCTCCAACAGCACCAAGCCCAAGAGCCACCACAAAAAAAACAGGCTGGAGAACAAAGAGACCCATCAGGTCCACCAAAAAGCAAGGTGATTCCAGTTTCAGCCTAGAAAGGGGCGTCCCTGCCAAGTCTGGCTTTTAACTGTATCCAAATCTCAAACAGATCTTAGGTCCCCCTGATAAGGCTGGAGCACAGCACCAGCAGTCAAGAGGGCCAAAGTTGTCTAGACTACTCAGTGAGCACCTCTATGCCATGATTTGTCACTGTTCATGCTGACAACGGCAAAAGAATCAAGAAACTTGGGTTTTGGAAGAGCACAAACATTATTTACCTAATAAGCAATGATCAAAGTTCTTGTCTAGGGTGAATGATACAAAAATAGATCATGAGGTCCCCCATACATCACTGCTGAGATGATCTAATCTAATTTTAAAGCACTACAAAATGGCTTCTTTTACACGAGGACAAGCTTTGCACTAATGTGTCTCAAAAACCAAATGTTTCCAGCTCTACCCTCAGTTTAAGAGGTTTTTTCAAAATAGGCCTTTCCTATGTCAGAGCCAAGGTAAAAGGGGAATGAGATAAACCATCTATCCAGATTCCCTGGAAAAGAAAGAGCTCTAGAAGCCAGTGGGTGTGAGCACATTCAAGTCACGAGGTTTGAGCTTATGGGTCCGTGGCAGTTGTTTCTTCCCTTCCATCACTGGAATGTCCATCTTGGGTGGCTTGAAGTTTGCTGGATCTTCAGCCATTCGGGTGGCCTGGGCACTGATCACTTCCATTGGAGAGGGCTTCTGGGCTCCTCCGTAGGCCTGGGTGGCAAAACCTCCTACAGAAGAAAATCAGAGCAAATGATTTTGAAATCAGTAGGCAGCACCCAATATACAACAAAGTAAAATCCCTGCCACTTTGCTTCTTTTTTGAAGGAGTTGCCTTACCTGAATCATACTTCTGGAGGGATTTTGGTCCAAAGAAGCTCCATTTATCTGACGAGTTTCTGTCCTTATCCCCACTTCCAGGATCCATGTTGCTAGGATTTGGGCCTGGTAAGGCTGTGGAAGAACCAGAAGTGAACCAGCCTCTGAAAGAGAAAGAATAAAATTTATATATCCTAACATATCCTCTTCCTACACCTCTAGGAGTGTCTCACACCAAAAGAATAGGAACTGGAAACTAGCCCTGCTCAGTCTGAAACCACAGGCTTCAATCCAACTTCGTCTGCAGCACTAGCTTTCCTGGAGCACAGTAATGATGTGCAGAAAGGTCGCAAGGAAGGGCTCACCTGGACTTCTGCTTAGGGGAAGAATGGGGGGTGCTGCTCGGAGTGGACTGGGCTGATGGAGGCTGCTTCTCTTCTTTTGTTATTTCTCCACTCTGGAGCTTTAGTTTCTGTTCAGATGGGTAAGAGGAAAGACAAACAGCTAAGTCTGTGCATAAACAATTTGGTTTACATTCTAACTTTACAGGCACAAAGAAAAACATTTGTAACAGATTATCAGACTACTCTGGAATAAGGAAGGAAAAACCAACGGTCTATCAGTAGACTTGTTGAGTTCAGGTACTATGACTGGCTAAAACATGACCTTGGACCTCATTCCCTTCACTTATAAAATACAGAGAATAGTATCAACCTCAAAATACTAATGTGAAGATTAAGGGAATGCAAGTGCTTCATGAGTCACAGAGCACTATTCAGTATAAAGTGGTATTCTCCGAAAAGAAAGTCATTTGAAACTATTTTATTCATTCAAATATTTGGTCTTCATTAAATTAACCCTTACCAAAATTCCTCATTCCAATTTTAGTAATGAAAGAGCAAAAACATTCCAATCCCCCATTTGATTTTAATTTGTTAAAAATTAAATAAAGAGCATGATCTTCCTTTCCAGCTAAACTGTTACCTCTGTTGAAACTGCTTCTCTGTTGAAACTAGTTCTCCTCTCTCTCCCTCAAAGTCAGTCACTCTGGGACACAAACCAACCCACACTGGCTTTATGGTTCATAAAGCACTCACACATACATGTAGGCTGAGAATCTCTTTTGATACTCCTAACCAGAAGTAAGCAAAACAGATACCCCCACTTTATAGATGGAAAAGCAAAAACGAGGCTGAGCTCCAGAGCCGGGAAATATCACCACAGGTAGGAATAATCCAGTAGTAAATTCTATTGCCCAATTCTCTTCCCACCACGCTCCATAGCCCCCAACTTGGTGAGCTGGTAACTTCTAAACCACAGCTATGCTTCAAGCCACAAATGACGAAGGTTTGGTTTTTTCGCAAGTTCCCAAGAAACAAGCTTACGTGGAGTGCTTCTGCCACTCGAAGGTACTTGGTCTCCTCGGTGGTGAGGCCCTTGTGGGGTGTGTAGCCAGCATCTCTCAGCCCTGCCTGTTGCTCAAAACGCTGAATGCTTTCCTGGGTCTGTTCTGGGGACAGAGGAGATGACAGTCATGCCCCTTCCCCTCTCCCATCACAATCTGGGAAGGACAACACAGATATCTGCTGTTCTCCCCAGGAACAAGAGACCACACTAACAAGGAGGAAGGTTCTCTCAGAAGGACATTATAGTAACATCTCTGAACCTCACACAAAGGTTCTCGAACCAGAAGGAAGCCTTTCCTCACACCACCAAGCTAAACAAAGAACAGTTTATTCCTAAAGGGACAGCTGAAGAACCTCTAAGTAAACACTCCTTACCCTCTTATTTGTACACTGTGACATTTTCTTGTATTTAGAAATGCAAGATGGAGCAGGTAGCTGACAAACAGTAAAAATCATACAAATATAGTTTTCTAAAAGAAACTCACCACCCTCGTCACCCACACAAAACCTTTGCCAAAGAGAAACTGGCCACGTTCGTGCTGGGTGGTACAAAGGTACCAATCAGATTCAAACTACAAAGAACCCGCTTTGAACTAGCCAAAGTCCGCTGATCCAACGTTTCTCACATATGAAGCGATCTGTCACAGTGCCTGACAGCTGATGCTCAACACTGGTTGAGTTCCACCTGATTATCTCGTGATCAGTATGTCAGTTATACTGTGGAATGAATGACAGCTGAGTTTTTGCTTAGTCTGCACACAAACTACATCATACACCTGTACAGGAAGGTGGCAGCTGTGGACCAAAAGTCTAGACACCAGATGTACCATGTGACTTAGTCATTCCTCTTCTAAGGAAGGATTTCCATCAGAATAGAAGCAAAGAAAAAAAACCTAAACGCATAAAAATTTTCAGGCAGTCACCTGAAAATCTAAGAAGTGAGAAGGAATTTAATGAATTGTAAGTACACCAATACCAGGACTTTAAATGCAGCTATTTTTTTAAAATGTAAGACTGTAGCAAAATCAAAAGTTCATGGCTTATTTAAAAAAAAAAAACTGAAAAAAGTAGAAAGGTATGCCTACTATATCTGCACTTATATAAAAATATGCATATATTGTAAAAGTAAATAAGACAAATAACCCATGTGAATGACATTAGTATATTGGGGTATTATACTACTATATTACACGGTATGATACTGTGCTCAAAGAACAATGACTAAGCTTTCTAACACTGCTAGAACACATTCTCAAGCTTGCAAAACATAAGTAGTAGTTGCTAACTCAAATAGTGCATCTATGCATGAATAAGAGAAAACCAAAGAAAGAGTTTGGACTTTTGGTTCTTGGGTGAATTCTCCAGAAATTGGCCAAGACAAACTGGTTCCTCCCGGAGAAGATAAACAAGGACTTCTGACTTCAAAAATGAGCCAGCCAAGGAGAACTTCTATGTACCTTACCCCTGGTAGAGGCACTACTGCTGACAAGCAGAGCTATGTATCCAATAATTGTTAACTTCCCACAGCAAACAGAGAGGCTCTCCAGAGTGAAATTTAGTTAACTTGTTATAAGATTAACAAAAAAACAAATCAACCAGTCCAGCAACGACCACCAAGCTGCAGCAAGAAGGGCCCCAGGTTACTGAGCTGGGGAGTTAGGGGTGAGGGCTTTTCCACACCCCATCCCCATGAGATCTGCACCCAGCCCAGCAATGACCAACCCACTGCTCGAAGCCCTCCGGTCTCCCCTGCAGGAATGAGGGGCGTGCCACAGGCCTCAATCCCACCCCTCCTCCTCCCTCCTTCTTCCATCACATTTCTTTCCCCTTTCCCTTCTCCCCCTCCCTCCCAACTGCTCCACAACAACATCCTAGAATGTAAAAAATATTAATAAAATTTCATTTTCTTTAAAAAAAAAAAGATTAACAAAAAAAAAGGCAAGCTCTCTTATGCCAGGCTTCATGAGGACAACCAATCACATTCTTAGGATTAAATATGCTTGACACACCAACCCTAGTCCTCT